TCGTTGGAGTTCGTTTATCTGACAGTCTAGGTTTTTTTTCAAGTTTGTCTGTTCTTTTAATCGCTATTCAAAGAATCATTTGAAGCTAGAATTCGTTTATCTCGTCTTACAACTATAATTTTAATGTCAACAATTTATTGAATGAAACTAATTTTGGGAATTTTATCGTGTTTAACTTAAATATTTAATTAAATTTGGTATGTTAAGAACATAATATTTTATGTTAGAATGTTATGTTCGAATTTATAGATGATAACCCCTGGTCGTTATAATGAAGCAAATCTTATTTTTTGGCAAACTCTAGGGTTTGGTCCTACAGTTTACTTAAAAACGGCCCCACATAAAGTGCGCACTTTATGTAGGGCTGCTTATGAAAAAAAGATCATCATAAAGAGACTTCATTCATATGAATTCGGCCAGCTGATACCTCACTGGGTTTCATTGTCATATTTCAAATTACTGTGCCTTCAGCTCACCGTCCTTTATAGTGCCTAATTTTGGATTGAAGTCTCCCATCAACACTTTACATATTCTCTTACATTGTCTCGCCATCTACATTGCGATGTGTTAATTAATCATCGATTAGTGCGTAAATCTGTATGACCTTTAACAAATACCATTTAGTGATTTAGAGTATAAGGTCATGACCTATGTCAAAAAACTACTTCTCAAACAGATCAGTTAATGAGAGCATTGTGGACGATGTTATGTTATAATTCGACACTTCCTTAGAACAGAAGGTCACCCTCCCGGTGTTTCCGGATTCGAAGGTTACCATGTTCTCCTTCTTTTTTCAGACCTTACATAATCTTGTAATTTCCCAGCGCAGCAATCTATCTATCACCATGTAGCTCTCTCTATCGTTGTGCAAAATCTGTCACTCTATCTCTAGAGAGCAAAGAATGGCAAGATAATTCGTCCTGACGATTTAACTAGACGGATTCATTTTTTTTTCTAATACTTAAGTGTATGTAGACTAACAAGTGTAAATGAGCCGTGAAAAAATTTAAAACAAATCGTTTTAAATCCTGATCCCAAAATAGATAGGTGTTTTAGTTGGTAATGTTTGAATTAAACATCTAAAGTGAAGCAATATTACGAGTATTTTACTACTGGGACAAAAGTGACGCAAACACCTATTTTTACGATTTCGATTCGATTTCGATTCGATACGATTATGATTGATGTAATAAATAAATTATTTTTCTTTCTTTCTTTCTTTCTATTATAATTAGATGCACTTGTATTTGCAATACTGAACACGACAGCTAATCTATAGATTTCATAATTTCTAGCAAAATTGAAACGGAATGTTTAGAAACATATAATGATACTTCAAATCTATTTGTATCAATAATCTTACACCTTATTATTAGGTCAAGTCTTGTGCTTGAAATTATTTAGTTTCGAACATTGTTCAAGAATATCAATATTTAACTAAGATTTAGTATCATTGGCTGGCCCATTGCCACTTCAGCTTATTAATCGGTTGGGCTATGTCGGTCACTCTGGTTCTACTGCGGATATCCTCATTTCTAAATTTATCACGTAGAGAAACTCCGAGCATAGCCCTCTCCATAGTTCGCTGAGCAACCTTCAGCATCCTTATCCGGCCAGCAGTGAAGGACCAGGTCTCAGTTCCATAGGTGATCACTGGCAATATGCACTTGTTGTACAGTCTCGTTTTCAAGTTTTGAGGTATACCTGATGAAAAGATGTGCCGTAATTTTCCGAACACTGCCCAACGGAGTTGAATACGTCGATTGACCTCCCGGTCGAAGTTGGACTTACCTAGTCGGACTATTTGTCCCAAGTAAACATACTCGTCAAAGACATCGAGCTTAGGGCTCCCAACAACTACCGGCATAGGTGTGACATGGACATTGAACATGATCTTTGTTTTGTTCATGTTCATCTTAAGACCTATCCGTTTAGAGACACTATTGAAGTCATTGAGCATAGTGCTTAGGTCCTGCAGCGATTCTGTCATAAGGACTATATCGTCGGCAAATCGAAGATGAGTGGTGTACTCGCCATTGATGTTAATACCGTATCCTTTCCAGTCCAGTAGTTTTAAAACGTCTTCCGATGCAGCGGTGAAGAGTTTCGGGGATATAACGTCGCCCTGTCTTATACCTCTCTGCAGTTGGATCGATTTCGTACTCTGGTTCGTACTCTGGTTCAAATTACGACGGAATCAAAGGCAAAGTCCACATACACAAAGCAAAGTGGCAGATTGTATTCTTCTGTCTTCTGTACAATTTGCCGAAGGGTGTCTGTGTGGTCTATAGTACTAAAGCCTTTTCGGAAACCGGCTTGTTCGGGAGGCTGGAAGTCGTGGAGTCTGCGTGCGAAACGATTCGTAACCACTCTCGAAAACAGCACGTAGACGCGGCTCAGAATGGAAATCGATCTATAGTTCTTCAAAAGAGCGTTATTGCCTTTCTTGACGAGCAAGACCACTGCACTTCTGCTACACGCCTCCGGAGTACTACCACCATGGAGGACGGAATTAAAGAGCTTCTGAAGCACTTCAAGTACCGGTTTTCCACCCGCTTTTAGAAGCTCCGCTGTAATTCTATCCTCGTCCGGGGACTTGCCGTTTTTAAGGTGCTGGAGAGCCATTTTAACCTCGCTTAGACTGACGTCCAGAATATCTTTGGAATAGTGTCGGATAATACTCGCTCTTGGATCGTTACTCACACTTGCGTGTGGCTCCAACGATGACGTGTACAGCTGCCCATAGAACCTCTCAATCTCACTCAAAATCTCAGATGTCCCGGAAACGATGCTGCCACACTCGGTCTTCAGCTTTGACAGTTAGCTCTTACAGGCAGACAGATCTCTGGCAAAGACTTTGGAGCCTTGGTTATGCTCGATCGCTTTTTCAATACAAGCTGTATTGAAGTTGCGTAAGTCCCGCCGCATGCATTTGGAGATCTGTCAGTTTAGTTGCCTGTATGTTGTCAAATCTGTTGATGACTGCAGCTTCATTTCCCGTCTAACAGCCATGAGATTAAGAGTGTGATCGGAGAGTTTTTGTGTTCGTCTGCGGCGGGTCTTGCAGAACTTAGCTCCGACCGCATGGACAGTTTCCACGAGCTTATCATTTATATCGTCCACTTCATTACAGTCTTCCAGGCACTGAAAACGGTTTTGAAACTCGAGTTGAAAGGTTTCGGGACTCTGGATTACACGCACGAGCACGAGGGTGACGGAGCGGTGACTTCATTAGACGAGACCTCTCCAACTTAACGTTTAGGTTCAGTGTGCCTCTAACCAATCGGTGATCGCTACCAGTTTTCACCCTCGCGATCACTGAGACATCACGGAACAGTTGTGGCGGCCTCGTACCGGCGGACGAAGTGTAGGACGTCCCCCCACTAGATGGAGTGACGACCTGGTAAGACATGCAGGAAGTCGATAGATGCAGGTGGCTCAGGACTGTGTTTTGGGGCATTCCTTGGGGGAGGCCTATATTCAGCAGTGGATTTCTGAAGGGCTGTATTGATGATGATGATGATGATGTATCATTGTTGTAATCAGCTATTAGTTTTAATATACTGAACAATATAAAATGTTATACGTTTTTCATAACAATTAGTCGTACTTTACAATAGGGAATTTAATAATAATACCCTTATGGGGAAACTGCACAGACATCCAAAAACATTATCGCTCAAAAAATATAGGTATAAGAATTCTAGCAAATATTGACTCTAGCGAAAGCTGTAGACAGTGGCGCAGCGTGCCTTAGATGGGCCCTGTATCAAAATTTGTTGGGGGGCCCCATTGAAGAGTAGGGGGATGAAGTTGTTCACGTCCGCAGGAATTGCCGCCCGCACCCTGCACGTTTCCCTTGGGTACCGCTAAACGAACAACAAACTACTGGCTGCTGTACTGTTGCGCTATAATCCTGCAACCTCAAAGCACTCTCACAGTCGTTCAAAGAATTATAATAGCATTTAATTACCCACTTGAAATTCCTCAATGCGATCAGTCCTCCTCGGAGAACCTATTACATGAATCTGCCAACTTAATATAGAAAGTATTAGTCAAGCTAAATTGGAAGTAGTAAGTAAGATTCTATTAGAAAATGACATAGACGTACTCCTTTTACAAGAAACTCACGCTAGAGATGAACAGGATCTATATAAACGTGGTGCTATCCCGGGACTCTACCTTGCTCATTCAATTAACCACTCGCAATATGGCATGGCCACTTATTGTTAAAGACGGTATTAAACATATCGCTGTGGAGACTTGCCTTGGGGTCCCGATGTATTTGCCTCTGCAATAAAGATCAATAACCTTACCATTGTAAACGTATACAAACCACCTAACTCTTCATGGACTACCAACCTCCCCACCGCTTTTCCACATCCATGCCTATATGCCGACGACTTCAATAGTCATCACCCGACCTGGCGATATAACAAAAATGATGCAAATGGTGAACACCTACACCTGGTATTTAATGCCAAAGATAGAGGATCGTTCAGGTCAGCAAGATGGAAACGGGATTATAATCCAGACTTAACGTTTACTACCTGTGACATCAATCGAACCCCATTACAAACCACACGAAGAATTCTCTCAGACTTCCCGAACAACCAACACCGACGGGTGCTTGTGGAGGTTGGTATTAAGATCCCCTTAACAAGCTCCGTGCCTTTGCCTCGATGGCCTCCACAAAGCAGACTGGTCCAAATTCAGCGCTAACATGGATGCTGCTATCAGATGGACAACTCCCTGTGCCGAAAACTACAAGAGATTCACTAAACTTATCATAGCAACAGCAAAAAAGAGCATTCTCCGAGGCTACCGCAAGGCGTATATCCCTTGCTGAAAACTATTTGATGAGTACACGCGCACGGGTAACTATGAAATAGGTGATGACCTTCTGAAATCTCTCGACGAAAGGCGTCGAAATAGGTGGCTCGATACCGTAGAGTCAATGGATTTTAAAACTTCCAGCAGGAAAGCTTGGAGGGTGCTCAATGGGTTGGGAGGCAAGACTGGAAACAAACTCCCGTGGCGGATCTGCTCCACTAGCCAACGCGATTGCAAACAGAATAGTTGAATTGTCCCGAGTTAAAGGCAGGAAAGATGATACCCGGGCGACACGACAGTGCGCTAAACAGCTCAAGGCGTCGCTACCAATTGACTACCAGCTGTCACGAGAATTCTCCCAAGATGAAACCGATCGCGCCTTGAAACTATTGCCCCCTAATAAAGCTGCTGGTTTCGATGGAGTCTACAATGAGTTTCTAAAGCACCTGGGCCCGAAATGCAGGAAATGGCTGAAAAAGTTCTCAGATATCCTGTTACGTAACAAATTGCCTCGCGACTTCAATAGATCAAAGATTATTGCTATGCTGAAACCCCAAAAACCTGCAGACGATCCTAAGAGCTACCGTCCTATCGCCCTTCTGAGCTGTGTCTACAAACTTCTGGGGAGACTAATCTGCAAACGCATTATGCCTCTCATTGATAAGGTGGTTCCAGTGGAACAAGCTGGCTTCCGTTGTGGCCACAACTGTACCGACAGGTGTTGTCCCTCACAACCTACATTGAAGCAGGGTTTGAAAAGAAACTAAAGACGGTTGCTGTTTTAATAGACCTGTCAGAGGCATACGACACAATTTGGCGGCAAGGATGGGTCTATAAGCTCATGAAAGCGGTACCATGCAGAGAAATGGTGGGGCTGTTAAAGAATGCTTAGGAACCGTGAGTTCATGGTTTTCCTTAGCGACAGTGAAAGTCGTACCAAAAAGCTGAACAATGGATTACCACAGGGTTCAGTTTTGGCTCCGCTGCTCTTCAATCTTTACTTACATGATATACCTGAAACGTAGAGTCGTAAATTTATGTATGCTGATGACACAGCACCAGCTTCCCAACACGAAACCTTCAAACCATCCGAAGGTATCCTTAACGAGGACTTAAGCATACTAGACAAATACTTTAGGAAACAAATACTTTAGTACCAAACACTGCCAAAACCGAAGTAACTGCATTTCACTTGGCTAACCAAATGGTAAAATACGAGCCCACTTTGAGTTTGCTGGAGCCATGTTGCACTACAACCCCACTCCGAGATACTTGGGCGTGACTCTCGATCGGAGTCTCACGTACGCTCCGCACATGGACAAATTATCCAAAAAGTTCCAGACCAGAAACAACATCTTGCACAGGCTAGCGGGCACCAATTGGGGGGCCAGCGCCGATGTGCTGCGTACAACCGGTCTCAGTTTGGTGTACTCAACAGCAGAGTACTGTGCACCAGTATGGTCAAATAGTGCACATGTACTGCATGTGGACACCCAGCTGCACCAGACCATAAGATGCATATCTGGAACCTTAAAATGTACCCCCCTGCAGTGGCTCCCCGTGCTAAGTCATATAAGCCCACCCCTTCCTTTAATTATAAGTTATTACTTACAAATAATACTTCTAGGAACTAACCTAGCCAAACAATACTAACATAGCTGAAGACGTTTCGGTGGCATTCATAGCTGAAGACGTTTCAGTTTTTTTTTAAATTCTTTGCTTCTATAGATAATAGTGATAGCCTTTCCTGTCCCGTAGAAGTCCTTGAAATTTTTGGTTACACACGTTCGGGGCCCCTGTAGTCCGGGGGCCCCGTATCATTGATACGGCTGATACGGCGGTAGCTACGACCCTGGCAGTAGACCATATTTTATATAATACAAGATATTACCAGTTACATCTTTATACATATTGGAATCACGTAAATTAGTAAGAAAATATATAGATATATTTCAAAAAGCTAGTGATAATAATATAAATAGACATAATATAACTTAGGAAGATAAATAAATTAATATTGCCTAAAACCACTTTATCCATATACAGTTTTGGATCATATTCTATAGCAGTGAAATTATAGAGATAGAGATGGAAGAATATAAGAAATTTGTGATAGCACTAAATAGCTTTTTGATCAAGAAATGTTATTATAAATTAGATGAATATTATGTAAAATTGAAGTAAATAAATAAATGTAGTAATATAACGTATACTAAATACTATAAAAATATCTGTAATGTATAAAAAATATATAAATGTTAGCATTAGAATTAAGGAATTAGAAATTAAGGCTAGCTTTATTTTATAATGTTATACCCTAACTGGATGCACGTGTTGTAATGTGTCACAAAAACCACATGTAAATGCAATAAATAAATAAATAAATAAATTGGAACCAGCAGTCCCGCAGTGCCACAACTCAACCCTTAGCAACTGCGTTTCCGAGCGCAACGTAATGTTTCATTGTTTTTATACTTATATATTAATACTTACTTCTTTAATAAACTCACGTTTGTCTGTATGAATGATGTGTTCGGATCTGCCACTAAAATAACAAATTTTACACAATTACATCAGTTATGTTCATCAGTACCAACCAATGTGCCTCACTTCCTCAAAAAAAAAATTCTGTAGAGACCTTAATGTAAGAAAAGTAAATATTCAAGTAAATAATAAGTACTTCTACTTACTGTAGCGACAGAATACAAAAAAATATTTATTAAAAAACACTACATGTCTTATAAACTTTACACGTAATAAGTACAAATATACAGTTTAGGACTGATTTCGTATGTCATGGTATGGTAATATATTTTTAATTACTGCACTTGAATTTTCCAAATTATTTTTAATTATTGACTTAAATTATAGTAATAGTGTCTTTCATTTTTAAAATTTGTAAATTTTTCTATCGTAATAGCTTAGCCAACAATAAACGAACGCTATTGGAACTTTCATTTCCTTCCTTTAAAAGGGATTTGTTCAGGAAACCGCAGAACGGTAATGGCTGCAACGTGCATCATTCAATAATTTTATATGTTGTGGGCGTTTAAGAAGATGCTTTAATATTTGCTACGGATGATTCGTATGCCTGCGTGCATGGATGCATAATATTTGTATGCACCAGAAATCAATCTGAGCGAGATTTAAATATGTATTGCCAGTGGGAAGGAATCATTCCACAAGAGCATTATGCTCATAGATAAATGATAAGTCATCGCGCAGAGCGCGCGATGACTTATCATTAATCTATGGTTATGCTATTTTATAGTTCAATTAATTTTTATTTCTGCTAATACTTTTCAGCACAGAATAATATATAAATATAAAATTAAATTGCCTCATCTTCCATACATTAAAACATTATAACCAAACGTTGAACGCCAATACGAAGCCAACCACGATTTCAACCAGATTTACATAATCGCACTGCTCGTTTTGTTTTTTGTCTCCGCGTATCTGACATTGTTGCTTACTACATCCAATACTTATCACCTACTCGTTGCATCGGCGCGGGTAGCACCAACTTCCAAACAATCGACAGTGTCGTCCTAGTCTATACCGATTGTTTGTAAGTTGGATCTTTATGAATTTCTTCTGTAATCTGTGAGCATTAAAAATTGTTTTTCATCATTATACCCAAGACCACTGCTGAACGTAGGCCTCCCCAAGAAATATCACAAAGCACGGCCCTGAGCCATTATTTATGAAAAGAAAATTAAGTGGTATATCTAAGAAAAAATATAAAGGTCATGCGATAATATTGTTTTTGTTGATTAATTTCAACATACCTACTTTTGTTTATTAAAAAATATCGACATGCCTTCATTTATATTGATGCTAAATAAACATCACAAACAATTTCATTTTTCATAACAAAAACTAAAGGGGCTATGGAGATAATGCAATGACTCTTGCAACACAGAAAAGTTGATTAGTAACATTAAATAAAAAATAATATTTTTTGTCAAAAATCTCACGTCATTTCAAAAAACCTAAGCGAAAATGAAATTAAAATTATATAAGGTCAAAGGTACCTAGTAGTTCTAAATCATCTGTTCCTAACCATCCTGTGTAAACATTTCAAAACTGAAGACGAGGCCTCTCTCATTGAGTAAAGATTAGTGAGAGTGTTCACGCTGTTCACACGTCTGAAATATATTTTATTTATAAGTTTGGTTTATATAATAATTATATTCTAAATCATACGTGCAAATAAGCATTTTTAAGATTTATAACTGTTAAAGATACATTCATTGTATTTTTTTTATCATACTTAAAGTTCACTTTAGATTGCTTAGAAATTGTTAATTACTCTACCAATAGCAATCCATTAGGGTTTTAAATGTCTTTATAGTAGCAGTCGACCCCCAAACTGTTAGAACGTCCTGAAAAATATAATACCTATTGAAAATTGTGACAACCTTATATTAAATCAAGTTAGTGATATTCTAATCTATAATTTCTTTGTACAATATCGTACAGAGAGTGGTAGAGATTTTTCTTAGCAATATTATGTAAACAAACGAAATTGTAATTTAAACATAATCATATGAACGTAATCATTATAATATTAATACAGAACATATGAAAATGTTTTCATTTCACCTTACTTTTCTTTTATAGGTACTCAACTTATTATAGACGCATTTATATACTTACATTGTATTTAGAAAAATGTCCAAAATGTAAAACAGATATTTGAAATTGGAGGAAGCGAAAACGATTTGGAAATTGCAAGGTGGGCAAAAATAGAAGATTGAATGTCAACTTATACGAGAAAAGAGATATTGGATTAGATCTTGATGCAGTCGCTCGCTTTACGATTATACGTGACTTTTTCACAAGAATAAATTGCTGAGAAAACTGTATAAGCCAATATGCTGTATAATATCTGTTTTGATTTTTTGAACCTACGAAAATGTTCGTTTCTAATTTCTAATATGTTACGTCAAATGAGGTGAAACTAATTATGACGCTCGTAAAATAGTTCGAAAAATCATTGAACTCACTGACAGTTACGAAGACAATCACAATCACAACATATAAAAATCTTCCAACAATTTGTGTTGATACATGAATTTTGAACATAGGCCTCCCCCAAAGAATGCCACAAAGCACGGTCCTGAGCCACCTGCATCCATCGACTTCCTGCAAATCTTACCAGGTCGTCACTCCATCTAGTGGGGGGACGCCCTACACTTCGCCTGCCGGTACGAGGCTGCCACTCGAGAACCTTTCTTCCCCATCGGTTGTCGGTTCTTCGAGCCATATGGCCGGCCCATTGCCACTTCAGCTTACTAATCCGTTGGGCTATGTCGGTCACTCTGGTTCTACTGCGGATATCCTCATTTCTGAGTTTATCACGCAGAGAAACTCCGAGCATAGCCCTCTCCATAGCTCGCTGAGCGACCTTGAGCTTCCTCATCCGGCCAGCAGTGAAGGACCACGTCTCAGTTCCGTATGTCATCACTGGCAACACGCACTGGGTGTACAGTCTCGTTTTCAAGTTTTGAGGTATACCTGACGAGAAGATGTGCCGTAATTTCCCGAACGCTGCCCAACCGAGTTGAATCCGTCGATTGACCTCTCGGTCGAAGTTGGACTTACCTAGTCGGACTATTTGTCCCAGGTAAACATACTCGTCAACAACTTCGAGCTTAGTGTTCCCAACAACTACCGGCATAGGTGTGACATGGACATTAAACATGATCTTTGTTTTGTCCATGTTCATCTTAAGACCTATCCGTTGGGAAACACTATTGAG